CCCCGGGGCAGCATCCGAGCAAACAAGCGAGCGAGCACAGGGAACCCCCGAGCTTGCGCCGTTGCGAATTCGCCGGTGTAGCTGTGCCAAAGTTGGCCTGCAGCACTTTGCGCCCCTCCCTGGAGGCCGACCCGCGACGTCAAGCTGGAGCATCCTGGCCAGCCTGAGCCCGGCCCCGCCAGTCCAGCCTCAACCCCCTGCGCGCCGCCGGGCCCGGCAATATGAAGGAGCAGCCCTCATGTGCGGGCACCGGGCATCCGAGCATGGCGGGGTACGGCAGGATGGCCCCCTTTGAACTCGCTGGTGGCCCCGTGAAGCGCTTGAGAACTGAGTCCCCCCTTTCCTGTCTCTTCGCAGAGGAGGCCTACCAGAAACTGGCCAGCGAGACCCTGGAGGAGCTGGACTGGTGTCTGGACCAGCTAGAGACCCTACAGACCAGGCACTCTGTCAGTGAGATGGCCTCCAACAAGGTAAGCCCCCCGCTCTGGTTCGGGTGTCAGTGACGCCGCTAGACTGCTGATTCCCACGCTGGGGAATCACCGATCCCTGTGGCTTGGGGAAACAAGGGAGAGAAATTTGTCATGCTTACAGCATGCTAGCAGTTCTGCTCCTTTGGAGGGAGGTTCCTGTTTACAGGCCTCCCAGTAGATAGATAAAACATTTTACAACAGCAACTTTGACATAGTTCTAGCATCCCTAGGACGAAGGGCTTAGAGTGACACTTTGCCCTTGCAGCAGAAACCCAGTAGGGTCTGGTGGCATTGCGTGTTATCAAAGGTACTGCTCAAGATTCTTGGTTGGAAATAAGAGTTGCAGGACTCCGTGAAGTCACTTAGGACGCCACCACCGACCTCGCTCAAACTCAGCAGAGTTCACTGAACTTGCAACCTTCGCTGCCATTTCTCTGGTTCTCGGGGTACCTTTTAAAGATCGGGTTTTAAATATTCTATATAAATGTTCGATCCCCGGTATGCATCCCCGGAGGATATTAACGAAGTTAGAAGGGTCATTATGCTGCCTTTGTCTCCTTCAGCCTCGGAGACCAAATCCAGGTTTCAAAGGTCATTTAGTTACCGCTAGGCTTCGGCTGGGCATTTGTGCCACATGTGCCAAGGTGCTGCTAGTCTTGGCAGTTAATGGAGTTTAGGGGGCTGAGAAGTAACCTTCAACGCTAGACAGCCTTGAAGTAGCCTAGGAGGAGGTAAGGTAAGGTACTTTCAGAGTTGCATTTAAAACAGCAACACAAGTGTGTGCGCTCTGCCTTTGGTTATGCAAAGAAATAATTGAGATTATGTGGTCTTTAATGACCAGCTGGCTTAGGGGGCCAAGGAAAGCTGTGTACTTGATGCAAAGGGCTGAAAGAGTCAATCAGTAAGGACATTTGGCAATTAGACATAGTTGTCTCTTCAAGCTATTTCTGTAGTTTTGGACACCTATTTACAAGGTCAGGAGGGTTATGACATTTTGCCGGTTGTATTTGGTCGTTTATTGAATGTGTCTTTTCATGCTGCGAGCTCAGCATAGTTTCTTCCCCACCTGCTTTATTTCTCCCGCAGATTTTTATAAAAATGCCATAGCTCGTCAGTCAGCCACTGGGTTGGTGTGTCTGTAACAGTTTCACGGAGATAATGTTGTTGTTGAGATGAAAAGTGGCCTTAAACTGAAGGGGGTTCTCCCAAAATCTTAACTCACTTGCTAACCCCATGGGCCTGCTGGTGTGTACCACGGCGATAATCAAATCTGCATTCTTGATTTGTTTTGTTTGTTGCCTTTTGTCACCTGGGCCTCATTTCTAAATTTGTCTTGGCTCTCCATTGGAATGACCAGTTACTGCTCTCTTGCTGGGACTCTTGCTCCCTGCAGCAGCGTTCAGGGCCATTGTTCTCATTTGACTAGCAAATTCTAACTATATAAAATAGGAATCATTTCCTTTTGACAGCTTGCTTTTTAAAGACAAAGACATGTACCGAATATGACCAGTGTTCATGTATTGAGAGGGCCTTTCCCAGTAGGCTCCAATTCTTGCGTCTTTTTGCAGAGCAGAACCTGAAAGCCCCTTGCCAGGTGCAGCAGGCCTTTGCCTGTGCTTGCAACTTAATTTGACAGCACTTCTCATGCACCTGAGCAGTTACTTTCCTTAAAATCCATAGTCTTAGTGTTGAAACCTGCGTTTGAGTTGAATAATTGATGTGCGGTCGAACAGTGTTGTGACTTAAACTGTGAAGTGGCTTTTGTTTGTGTTTTAAGCCGAAAACTTGACGTCATAGTCATTGCTCAAAATAATGCCCCCCCTTTTTTTTAATGGGCATCCAATTAGACAGACCTTTGTCTTTCTTAACTCTTTGTTGCAAAAGGTCTTCCAACTTTGTCTGCACTGCTACAGGATGTATGGGAGATGGGTTTATTTGGCCGAAGTAAGATATATGGAAAGTGAGAAGATACTTTTTCAAAATGCATTCAACTATGCTTGTGCCTCAACGCTGAAAGACTGTTGACGTGACACATTTTATACTCACATTGGCTCCGTTAGCCATTGCCTGAGTTTCTAGTGTCGAAGCTGCTCATTTCTTTGCAAATTCATTCATTTCTAAACTAGTGTTCCACTTGCATGGTCTTTCAGAGATGAGAAAGTTAGCCTAGAAAAAGTCCCTGGTAAAGGTTGTCAAGTCACCCTTCTGCTTAACAAACCACGGCAGGAATAAGCCACTTCCACCAAGCAATGAGATGGGTTGGGACAACTGGTCAACTGAGAGCTTTGAGTGACATCCTGCCTTCATTTTGGACTAGCACTATGAACAGCTTCCTTGGGACATTGCTAGTCAGAGAGAATCTGTCCGATAAGTTACTTTTTTGATTGGTTAATTTATTTCCCTATATTCAGTCAATGTATTTGGCTCATTTTCCTTTGCCTTGAGAGATCAGGACAGTTGTCTCCTCTGTGGAAGTTGAAAAGAGTTTTTTCTTAATACATTAAAAAAACAATAATTCACTAGTAACAAGTTAAGATTTTTAAACTAATAAGAGACATGATTTATTATGGCGGCAACTTGAGATTTAGAAAGTGGGAAGCCAAGTCCTGAAGCCTGCTGACAAATCATTCATATATTGGAAAGTTCTCAACAAAAGAAATTTGAATTGATGAGCAGTTCTAAAGTGATGCCTGACAGACATCTAGTTGTATTTTCTGCATTGCTATCAGAGTGTACGCAGGCTGCTGGTTGATGGTGTGGGGACAAGAAGATCCTTGATTTCTTGGCCAAGACCAGAGCTGGCTGTAACACATGTGGGATGCTTGTACTGGGGGCAGGGGGTAAGAGATTCCAGATGGCATTTAATTTGAGTGATTAAATCCACGGCATTTGCCCTCATAAGTACACTAATCTCCCTAAGATTTATACAGATTGGCCCCGGAAACTCACTGCTACAGTTGAGGGCAATTTTAGTGAAACCTCAGAGCTTTGGAGGTGGACAGACCTGAAAGTTCAGTTAGAGTTTTGTTCTTTACTTACTGAGTTCAAAAAAAAAAAAAAAAACAAAAACAAAAAACCCAACATTTTTTTAAAGCTTCAATTTCCTTCGCATAATTGAGACAATAATAATTTATTTGAATGGTCAGTATAAGAGTTGGAAGTCAGATTTTCTTGAGTTCCCGTTTGTCTGAAATATTTGCTTTCAGTAGTTTACCTCCCAAGAGTAATTTCTTGGTCAGAATTTGTACATGTCATAGATTTTTGTAACTTGTAGATAACTGACTTTATGGCTCGTAGATAACTAGAACACTTTGAAGTTCCGAGTAGATGTTCAGGCTTTTTATTTTTTAAGTTCATGTTTAGAATTCCAGTCCAAACGAGGTACTTCTTTGTCCTGCTGTAACTGAAAGCATAGGCCTGCTTAGCCTTCAGGACATAGATAGTATCCTCGAACTAGTTTGGGGACACCTGCTGTTCTTCTACACAGATTTTGCAAAGCTAAAATACTTTCAAAGTAAAATACTCTCAAATGCAGAATACTTCAGTGATGTTTCTGGTCAACACCAGCCCTCCCATGGGTAAACTGAGGGCGAGAGAGCATTCACAGGAGTCAGGCCCTCTGCCATGGAACCCTGTAACAATCTTCTTTCTCATGACCTCGTGCGCATGTTACTAGGTCTTCCGTGTAAGCACAGTGATATTTGAAGGAGAAAAATGAAACCATCTTGAAATATCCCTAGAAGCTCTCAACATAAAGTTGTTACTTATTTCTGCTCTCAAATTTCGGGTGCTATTTGACAGCTCAGCATTGCGGGAAATCACTGGGCTTCAAACTGCGGCTCCATCTTGAAGTTGGGGCGCGAGCATCGTTTGAAGAGACTTAAGGTTTCTCAGTGGTTCATCTCAGAGGCCCTCACGGCAGCTCTGCACACACCGTTAAGACTTCTTTGAGCATCTTAGTTTGTCTCCTGTTCTCTGCTTTGTCTACAACCGAAGCTGCTCTTCTGGAGTGGGTTTTCTCAGCGAGTTCCCCCCGCTGGCTCCCCCTGCTGCCTCCTGTGTGCATAGCACAGGCTGGCTCTTGCTGTGGCTGCTGATAACGGTTTTCTTCCGGCCAGAGGGATTGCAGGAAGGAAGATGGGATGTTCGTAGCTGTGGCAGAGTCCTAAGATATGCTGGCCCTGCTCAAGTATAAGGTGACTCAGGAAGATTGAAATTCCATTAAGAAAGAAGCTAAGTTAGTTGGGAAAAGGCATTTTAATTTATCGAGTAAAAATAGGGTCAGTGTGAAATTTTTTAAGCGTTAAAACATAAAAAAGAGAATTGTTGAGAGTTTATATGTTTGCTTAAATGAATACATAAATTTTAAAAATAAAGCTCTTCTATAGCTATAGAAACTCGAAACGTGGCTTCACGGTGTTTTGAATTTGGTGTGTTATTCTTCCAGCTACTCAATAAAAGGAAAGCATCTTTATAGTTTTTGTAGCATCTTTGCATCTAAATCCTCGCAATGAGTACATTGCGATCCTTGTTTATATCACCGCAATTAGAAAAATAATGTTCCCTTGCTTTTAGATAATAATAGGAAAGAAGAAATATGTGTTGAAAATGTGTTAAGTTTACGTGCATGTGTGTATCTGTCTGTACGCATGTGCGCACTCATTTGGAGAGGAGAGGATGTGGCAGTGATTTTCTCCTGCCCTCGTATGAGTCCTGGGACTCAGACTCAGGTGAGCAGGTTTGGCGGCATGCACCTTTCCCTACTGAACCATCTCGCTAGCCTGGGAACACTTCGTCGACTAGTCAGACCTTTGATTTTAACTAGGGACCAAGGCGGGGGACAAGCGACATTGTCATCAGCTCAGATCTCGTATCAGCGTTTGGTGTCGGTGAACCTCAGCAGAACACTCCTCACTTTTATGCTCTGGTAGATTAATCATTACTAGAAGAATGCTTTCAGTTATTACCTGCCGACTTGGTGTACAGGAAAGTGGTGGCTT